ATTTATGTTTTTAAGCAGTTCAGTAACCCGTTTTCTTCTTCTGTACCATCTCCTACGCTCTCTCTCTATATCTGATCTTCCTCTGGGTTTCCTCAATGGTACATGTTTCATACATACTTTGTATGCTTCTGTATTCAGCTTCTCTAGGCTTCCTTACACCTATTGTCCATGTTCATTCATCAGTAAAATGGGTACGTGGGTGTTACTTGACTGGTGTGAGTTGCATCCTGGGACAAAACTGACCTAACTTGCAGGAAATGCTCTGCATAACAAGCGGCCTCTCTATATAGTAGTGTGTCATTGATGTCAGCTAGGCCTGTATACCTTGTTTACCTGGAGTTTACCTGGAGAGAGTTCCAGGGGTCAACGCCCCCATGGCCCGGTCTGTGACCAGGCCTCCTGGTGGATCAGAGCCTGATCAACCAGGCTGTTACTGCTGGCTGCATGCAAACCAACATACGAGCCACAGCCCGGCTGGTCAGGAACCGACTTTAGGTGCTTGTCCAGTGCCAGCTTGAAGACTGCCAGGGGTCTGTTGGTAATCCCCCTTATGTATGCTGGGAGGCAGTTGAACAGTCTCGGGCCCCTGACACTTATTTTATGGTCTCTTAATGTGCTAGTGACACCCCTGCTTTTCATTGGGGGATGTTGCATCGTCTGCCAAGTCTTTTGCTTTCGTAATGAGTGATTTTCGTGTGCAAGTTCGGTACTAGTCCCTCTAGGATTTTCCAGGTGTATATAATCATGTATCTCTCCTGCCTGCGTTCCAGGGAATACAGGTTCAGGAACCTCAAGCGCTCCCAGTAATTGAGGTGTTTTATCTCCGTTATGCGCGCCGTGAAGGTTCTCTGTACATTTTCTAGGTCAGCAATTTCACCTGCCTTGAAAGGTGCTGTTAGTGTGCAGCAATATTCCAGCCTAGATAGAACAAGTGATCTGAAGAACGTCATCATGGGCTTGGCCTCCCTAGTTTTGAAGGTTCTCATTATCCATCCTGTCATTTTTCTAGCAGATGCGATTGATACAATGTTATGGTCCTTGAAGGTGAGATCCTCTGACAAGTACTTATAGAAATATATTATTATTATATTATTACATTTTTGCATAGGGTGAGATGGACACGAGGAATGTCGAAGAGAGTTTTGTGCCTTGTGTTATGCCTGTGTTCTGTCGTAGCTATCAAGGAGAAGTTTTAGAGGAGGGTCTATATTGGAATTTAATGTTCTATATATATAGTAGGGATAGTAATAAGAGTGCATATTTTGTATATTAAGTTCAAACTCCTGAAGAGCAGTGGGGTGTGTTGTTTGGCACAGGAATTGGTGATCATCTGCACTGCAGCTTTTTGTTGGATTATTAATGGTTTAAGGCGATTAGACATAGTAGATCCCCAAACACAAATATCATAGGTTAAGCAAGGGTAGATTACAGTGGTATAGTGTAATCATAATATAATCATAACCAAACCTGTAATTTCTTAAACAATTGAACTTGATAAAACCCATTTATTATTTTTTATTAACACATCAGCCGATTCCCACCAAGGCAGGGGGGCCAGAAAAAGAAAAACTTTCATCATTATTCACTCCATCACTGTCTTGCCAGAAGGGTGCTTTACACTACAGTTATAAAACTGCAACATTAACACCCCTCCTTCAGAGTGTAGACACTGTACTTCCCATCTCCAGGGATCAAGTCCGGCCTCCCGGTTTCCCTGAATCCCTTCATAAATGTTACTTTGCTCACACTCCAACAGCATGTCAACTATTAAAAACCATTTGTCTCCATTCACGCATGCCTGCTGGAAGTCCAAGCCCCTCGCACACAAAACCTCCTTTACCCCCTCCCTCCAACCTTTCCTAGGCTGACCCCTACCCCACCTTCCCTCCACTACAGATTTATACACTCTCAAAGTCATTCTGTTTTGTTCCATTCTCTCTACATGTCCAAACCACCTCAACAACCCCTCCTCAGCCCTCTAGATAATAGTTTTGGTAATCCCGCACCTTCTCCTAATTTCCAAACTACGAATTCTCTGCATTATATTCACACCACACACTGTCCTCAGACATGACATCTCCACTGCCTCCAGCCTTCTCCTCGTTGCAACATTCACCACCCATGCTTCATACCCATAGAAGAGCGTTGGTAAAACTATACTCTCATACATTCCCCTCTTTGCTTCCACAGACAAAGTTCTTTGTCTCCACAGACTCCTGAGTGCACCACTCACCCTTTTCCCCTCATCAATTCTATGATTCACCTCATCCTTCATAGACCCATCTGCTGATACGTCCACTCCTTAATATCTGAATACATTCACCTCCTCCATACTCTCTCCCTCCAATCTGATATCCAATCTTTCATTACGTAATCTTTTTGTTATCCTCATCACCTTACTCTTTCCTATTTTCACTTTTAATTTTCTTCTTTTACATACACTACCAAATTCATCCACCAACCTCTGCAACTTCTCTTCAGGATCTCCCAAAAGCACAGTGTCATCAGCAAAGAGCAACTGTGACAACTCCCACTTTGTGTTTGATTCTTTATATTTTAACTCCACACCTCTTGCCGAAACCCTCGCATTCACTTCTCTTACAACCCAATTGAACAACCATGGTGACATCACACATCCTTGTCTAAGGCCTACTTTTACTGGGAAATAATCTTCCTCTCTCCTACATACTCTAACCTGAGCCTCATTATCCTCATAAAAACTCTTCACTGCTTTCAGTAACCTACCTCCTATACCATACACCTGCAACATCTGCCACATTGCCCCCCTATCCACCCTGTCATATGCCTTTTCCAAATCCATAAATGCCACAAAAACCTCTTTACTCTTATCTAAATACTGTTCACTTATATACTTCACTGTAAACACCTGGTCCACACACTCCCTACCTTTCCTAAAGCATCCTTGTTCATCTGCTATCCTACTCTCCGTCTTACTCTTAATTCTTTCAATAACAACTACGATACACTTTACCAGGTATACTCAACAGACTTATTCCCATATAATTTTTGCACTCTCTTTTATCCCCTATGCATGCTCTCTGCCAATCCCTAGGTACCTTACCCTCTTCCATACATTTATTAAATTACAGCACCAACCACTCCAAAACTATATCCCCACCTGCTTTTAACATTTCTATCTTTATCCCATCAATCCCAGCTGCCTTACCCCCTTTCATTCTACCCACTGCCTCACAAACTTCCCCCACACTCACAACTGGCTCTTCCTCACTCCTACAAGATGTTATTCCTCCTTGCCCTATACATGAAATCGCAGGTTACCTATCTTCATCAACATTTAACAATTCCTCAAAATATTCCTTCCATCTTCCCGATACCTCCAACTCTCCATTTAATAACTCTCCTCTCCTATTTTTAACTGTCAAATCCATTTGTTCCCTAGGCTTCCTCAACTTATTAATCTCACTCCAAACTTTTTCTTATTTTCAATAAAATTTGTTGATGACATCTCACCCACTCTCCCATTTGCTCTCTTTTTACATTGCTTCACCATTCTCTTAACCTCTCTTTTTCTCTCCATATACTCTTTCCTCCTTGCATCACTTCTACTTTGTAAAAACCTCTCATATGCTAACTTTTTCTCACTTACTACTCTCTTTACATCATCATTCCACCAATCACTCTTCTTCCCTCCTGCACCCACTTTCCTGTAACCACAAACTTCTGCTGAACACACAAACACTACATTCTTAAACCTACCCCATACATCTTCGACCCCATTACCTATACTCTCACTAGCCCATCTATCTTCCGATAGTTGTTTATATCTTACCTTAAATGCCTCCTCTTTTAGTTTATACACCTTCACCTCTCTCTTACTTGCTGCTTCTATTTTCCTTGTATCCCGTCTACCTTTTATTCTCACCTTAGCTACAACTAAAAAGTGATCTGATATATCTGTGGCCCCTCTTTAAACATGTACATCCTTAAGTCTACTCAACAGTCTTTTATCTACCAATACATATAGTCAGATAGACTGTTGAGTAGACTTCAGGATGTACGTACATGTTTATAGAAGGGCCACAGATATATCAGATCACTTTTTAGTTGTAACTAGTCAGATATGACTAAGACCCACAGGACAAATGTTTCCTGAGGCTGGTCTTAGTCATACAATGACCCACAGCTGCAGCTTTTGGTCATCTGACTGAGGCCTTCCCCTTGCTTACCACTCCTGCACTTTATCTAACCTTTGGAAAAACTTGCCAGATGAATTAAAAATTGCAGCTTACTACTAGACTTAAAAACTTAAAAAATAATTTGCATGTTTAACGTATTTCCATGGAGCAATTTTTAATTTACTTTACATACAAATTATAAATTACGCAATTTAATCATATCTCCAACCATCATTACTTAGTTTTTAATTCTATCGAAGTTAAAATTAACCTGTAAACGGTCCAAACGTATATATACGTTTTTTCAACATTTGAAAGTATGTAAAAAAAGTAGATCTTTTTTTTCTACGTTTGAAAATGTGTAAAAAAAACTTTGATCTACTTTTTTTTTTGTTATATTTGAAAATATGTAAAAAAAACTTAGATCTACTTTTGTAGCACTACTCATGTGACCGTAGATCTGCTTGGACCGTTTACGAGTTAAGTCTGAATTTAATGTCTCACTAAATGCTCAGTTTTGATAAAAATTTATATTACAATATCAGGTAATTTTATATTTTAATGGGTCCTACACTTACATTAGCCAATGTATTTATTTCAATACTGCTAGTACTGGTATTAGCTGCAGATTGTCTGAAATGATGTGCATAACTACAGGCTTATCCTTGTAAGATATATTATGTATATTGAGTACTCTTAACCTCCCATTCTAACTCCAAGAAGATTAACAGACTCAATGGAAATAAGACAGACAGTCCTCAGTGAAGAACTGATTTAATTGGGTTATCCTGGTTACTAACTTTCTTGGCAAATAATCTCAACAAAATCTTCATCATAACCTACCTCAGAATTGTCTATGGAAGTAACAAGTCCATCGAAACTCGAGGGTGAGCTGGGCTGGGCAGACAGTGGCAGTGAGGAAGGTGGCACCTCACTCCTGGTGCCCACCGTTCTTACTTCAGAAACAATATTGTTCCTAATGTCATCATTCTTCTCTGTACTACTCTGCTTCCACTTCTTGCCACTCTTCCTCTTTTTAGATCTTGATCTTGATCTTGGCATCTTGATGACCTGTGAGCAGAAGTCAAGACTCATTAATAGTCATTATGACTTTTCATTACAGGGACTTTCCTGTAAATCTGTATACTACTACTACTAATAATAATAATAACAATAATAATAATTTTTTTTCAGCATGATATGTGTTTGTACAAAGGAGTATAACAACTGGATGTACATGCCAAAAGCCACTTTATATGCAGAGCATTTCAGGCAAACTTAAGATTAATGTAATATGTAATCTACTCTTACAACAACTGTATTATGTATTGATTGGCAATAAACTTTTTCATTTTCATATGGTCATTCCTACCTGGTGGGAAAACTTCAAAACAAAGTGTGAATTACATCAAGGCTAGGCATTATGAATCCAGTCCCAATTAATGTTTTGAATTTACAGTACAGTCGTCCCCCATATCCACGGGGCATACATTCAGAGACCTACCATAGATGCCCAAAACCATGGATAGTAGTGAACCCAATATGTATAAGTTGTTTTTCGTTTATGTACATATCTATAATAAAGTTTAATTGATAAATTATGCACAATAAGTCGAAAATTACCACTTTTTCATTGGTGGGAAGCACTTCACAGTTTCTCTTAGTCTTTGAAGAACTGCCACCATCACTAATTTTGTGCAGGTTTAAAGCTTATTGTTGGGCCATGGTAAACCATGGATAACTAAAACTGCAGAAACCTAATCTGCAGTTATGCAGGCTCTACTGTACATACATACAGCCTCTCCTCACTTAATGATAATGTTCCGTACCTAAGACCACGTCGTTAAACGAATTCGTCGCTAAGTGAGGAGCATTCTATAATGGTGATGGGTTTGTGTCAGCCATCTTTGATATTGTTTTAATGTCACCTTTGCACCATTTATAACATTTATGGTACAATTTTATATGTTTATACATTAGTGTACTGTATATTGAAATAAACACAATAGAGGAAATCAGCTCTAATATACATTACTACTTAGGTATAAATACTGGTCAGAGAGCCCATTATAAGTCCGAGGCGGTTGGGTGCTTAATGCTGTGTGCTGGGTGATTAATACTGTGTAAACAAGTACGGTACATCACTAAGTGAGGAGAGGCTGTATTGAACAAGGAAAACTTTGGAAAAAAAGTACATCCCATATCACTAAAGTCTGGCCACTCCTAATTTAGAGATTTGAATAAGGGCAGCATTGCCTACATATATAGTAATTTGAGTCTGACGATTCTCATGGCTTCCTATTGTTGAGTGATGGAATGAATTGGGGTAGATTGACAAAAGTTGATTCCCAGGCACAAATACCATAATAAACTGAATAAAAAATCCTACTTAACATTCTATGTTTAATTCTTAAACTGTCTTTCAGCATTATGGTTAGTTTGTGCAAGAAAGGTACATACCAGGAGGCAGCTCTGATGAAAACTCACACTCACGCAAACTTTTAAATCTCTGCACAAAATTCAATTTAAACCAGCAAATAATAGAGCCTACTAGACTGGAGAATACACTAGACCTCATCTTCACTAACAATGATGATCTGATAAGAAATGTCACCATATCAAAAACAATATACTCAGATCACAACATAATTGAGGTTCAGTCATGTATGCGCGGAGCCCCAGACTGACATAATGAGATTAGTCACGAGGGAGCATTCACCAAATTCAACTTCAATAACAAAAACATAAAGTGGGACCAAGTAAACCAAGTCCTAACCGATATAAGCTGGGAAGATATACTAAGCAACACAGACCCCAACTTATGCCTAGAACAGATTAACTCGGTGGCACTCGATGTATGCACAAGGCTTATTCCTCTAAGAAAAAGGAGGAGTAGATGTAAAACAGAAAGAGACAGGCGCTCCCTTTACAGGCGACAGAAAACAATAACAGAGCGGCTAAAAGAGGTCAATATATCTGAAATGCGTAGGGAGACACTGGTCAGAGAAATAGCAAGCATCGAACTTAAGCTAAAAGAATCCTTTAGGAGTCAGGAATCGCGGGAAGAACTAAAAGCCATAAATGAAATCGAAAGAAACCCAAAGTATTTCTTCTCCTATGCCAAATCAAAATCGAGAACAACGTCCAGTATTGGGCCCCTACTTAAACAAGATGGGTCCTACACAGATGACAGCAAGGAAATGAGTGAGCTACTCAAGTCCTAATATGACTCAGTTTTTAGCAAGCCGCTAACCAGACTGAGAGTCGAAGATCAAAATGAATTTTTTATGAGAGAGCCACAAAATTTGATTAACACAAGCCTATCCGATGTTATCCTGATGCCAAATGACTTGAACAGGCGATAAATGACATGCCCATGCACTCTGCCCCAGGGCCAGACTCATGGAACTCTGTGTTCATCAAGAACTGCAAGAAGCCCCTATCACGAGCCTTTTCCATCCTATGGAGAGGGAGCATGGACACGGGGGTCGTCCCACAGTTACTAAAAACAACAGACATAGCCCCACTCCACAAAGGGGGCAGTAAAGCAACAGCAAAGAACTACAGACCAATAGCACTAACATCCCATATCATAAAAATCTTTGAAAGGGTCCTAAGAAGCAAGATCACCACCCATCTAGAAACCCATCAGTTACACAACCCAGGGCAACATGGGTTTAGAACAGGTCGCTCCTGTCTGTCTCAACTATTGGATCACTACGACAAGGTCCTAAATGCACTAAAGACAAAAAGAATGCAGATGTAATATATACAGACTTTGCAAAAGCCTTCGACAAGTGTGACCATGGCGTAATAGCGCACAAAATGCGTGCTAAAGGAATAACAGGAAAAGTCGGTCGATGGATCTATAATTTCCTCACTAACAGAACACAGAGAGTAGTCGTCAACAGAGTAAAGTCCGAGGCAGCTACGGTGAAAAGCTCTGTTCCACAAGGCACAGTACTCGCTCCCATCTTGTTCCTCGTCCTCATATCCGACATAGACAAGGATGTCAGCCACAGCACCGTGTCTTCCTTTGCAGATGACACCCGAATCTGCATGACAGTGTCTTCCATTGCAGACACTGCAAAGCTCCAGGCGGACATCAACCAAATCTTTCAGTGGGCTGCAGAAAACAATATGAAATTCAACGATGAGAAATTTCAATTACTCAGATATGGTAAACATGAGGAAATTAAATCTTCATCAGAGTACAAAACAAATTCTGGCCACAAAATAGAGCGAAACACCAACGTCAAAGACCTGGGAGTGATCATGTCGGAGGATCTCACCTTCAAGGACCATAACATTGTATCAATCGCATCTGCTAGAAAAATGACAGGATGGATAATGAGAACCTTCAAAACTAGGGAGGCAAAGCCCATGATGACACTCTTCAGGTCACTTGTTCTATCTAGGCTGGAATATTGCTGCACACTAACAGCACCTTTCAAGGCAGGTGAAATTGCCGACCTAGAAAATGTACAGAGAACTTTCACAGCGCGCATAACGGAGATAAAACACATCAATTATTGGGAGCGCTTGAGGTTTCTAAACCTGTATTCCCTGGAACGCAGGAGGGAGAGATACATGATTATATACACCTGGAAAATCCTAGAGGGACTAGTACCGAACTTGCACACGAAAATCACTCACTACGAAAGCAGAAGACTTGGCAGACGATGCACCATCCCCCCAATGAAAAGCAGGGGTGTCACTAGCACGTTAAGAGACCATACAATAAGTGTCAGGGGCCCGAGACTGTTCAACTGCCTCCCAGCATACATAAGGGGGATTACCAACAGACCCCTGGCAGTCTTCAAGCTGGCACTGGACAAGCACCTGAAGTCAGTTCCTGATCAGCCGGGTTGTGGCTCGTACGTTGGTTTGTGTGCAGCCAGCAGCAACAGCCTGGTTGATCAGGCTCTGATCCACCAGGAGGCCTGGTCACAGACCGGGCCGTGGGGGCGTTGAACCCCGGAACTCTCTCCAGGTAAACTCCAGGTAATACCATATAATACCAACAAGATAAAAGTACATTTGCAACATCAGGTTATCTTTCTTGTAGACGTTTCGCCATCCAGTGGCTTTATGAATGCAGATTCTTGGACATAACTAGAAGACAGTAGACCTATATACAAAAGATGAGGTAATCAGTCCCTCAGTTGGTGTGGAGAGCACCGTGGTCGTAGATTCTGGAGCACAGGCAAGGAGACTGGAGCTTACATAGGTGTCAGTGGATAGGGACGTGTAGCAGATGAGGGCATAGTCACTGGTAGGCGAGATTCCCCAGTGGAAGTAGGCCATACCCCAGGGTTCGATCCCCGACATGAGTGGAAACACTGGGGCATGTTTTCTTAAGATACCTGCTGTTCCTGTTCACCTAGCAGTAAGTAGGTACCTGGGTGTTAGCCCATTTACACCTGCCATCACTGGGTGTAAGTGGAGTGATGTGAGTCACATCCTGGGGAACAAAATTAACCTAAGTACGTAGCAGGAAATGATCTACATAACCAGGGGCTTTCTATAAAGTATGTCATTGATGTCAGCTATGGTCTGTATAAGTTGTAACATGTACTTGTAGAAATAATTACATATAAACTAGATCTTTGTACATCATAAAAAGAAATAAAAATTTGAATTTGAATTATGGATAAATTACGAAAAAGTAGTATAATGTTGATAACAGACTAAATGCCATAGAATATCGTAGAGATTATCCCTCCATTCTTTGACACCGTCTTCGAGACCCCCGGCCATCTTCGAGGCCCCCAGCCGTCTTCGAGGCCCCAGGACATCTTTGAGGCCCCCATCCGTCTTCAAGGCCCCTGGCTGTCGTCGAGACCCCTGGCCGTCTTTAAGACCCCCGGCCATCATCGAGATTCCCGGCCATCGTCGAGATTCCCGGCCGTCGTCGAGACCCCCGGCCGTCGTCGAGACCCCCAGCCGTCGTCGAGACCCCCGGCCGCCGTCGAGACCCCCGGCCACTGTCGAGACTCCCGGCCGTCGTTGAGACCCCTGGCCGTCGTCGAGACCCCGGCCGTCGAGACCCCCGGCCGTCATCGAGACCCCCGGCCGTCGTCGAGACCCCGGCCGTCGTCGAGACCCCCGGCCGTCATCGAGACCCCCGGCCGTCGTCAAGACCCCTGGCCATCGTCGAGACCCCTGGCCGTCGTCGAGACCCCCAGCCGTCGTCGAGACCCCTGGCCGTTGTCGAGACCCCCAGCCGCCGTCGAGACCCCCGGCCGTCGTCGAGATCCCCAGCCGTCGTCGAGATCCCCGGCTGTCATCAAGACCCCCTGGCTGTCTTCAGGCAAAGTCAGTACCTGACCAGCCAGGGTGAGGTTCCTACGTTGGTTTATGTGTGACCAGCATTAACAGCCTGTGTGGAAAATACTGTATATATTTTCCAGAAATTCAGTATTTATATGTAAATAGATGGCCATACTGTATTTAATAATATTTATGTCATAGAAAATGGAAAGCCTGCATCTGCGTAGAAGGGGACTCACCATCTTGGTTTTGAATTGGATACAACGTTAATATAATGGGAAAAATTTTTCGTGCTCTAGAGGTTAAAATTGGATTGACACCTCTCAAATAGGAGGCGAAATTGTTGGACATGCATTCCTGCATAACTTGAGATATCAGATGACTGGACAAGACAGCTCCAGGAACCTCAGATAAGCTCTCTAGATTTGTGTATAATTCTGGCCAGTGTTTTCATAAATTTAGTTAGTGAGGTTTTTCTGAGTATGATACAACTTAATATCCAGTCAAATTGGTGAGTGATATTAAGATATATTTTCCTTCTGTTATGTATATGTGAATTTATATATAATCATTTTTTAATATACAGTCCACAAATTTATATATTTACCAGTATTCCTGGTGTATGTATATTTAATTAATAATTAATAGGTCCAGAGCAACTTGCGGTTATGACAGTGGTAGGTATCGAAGGGGGGACATTTTTTGCGACCTAGGTGTCCCAAATTCCTACTTGTCTATGTAACATTGATAAATAATAATTATCTTTGTTATCATTTACTGTTATGTACATAATTAGTTACATCCAGATAAATGCAATTTTCCACAGCCTGGTTGATCAGACCCTGATCCACTACCAGGCCTGGTCATGGACTGGGTCACGGGGAGCGTTGACCCCCGAAACACCCTCTAGGTATGTCATTTACACACATGTTCAACTATGTATGATAATTGCACTTATATACCTGTGCCTAAATAAACTTAAATTACTTATTCCGTCCATTAAAAAGAAAAAAAATACGTAACTATGTAAAAATGAATTATACACCAATGGGAAAAACTTTCCAAATCATAATTTACAAAAACGTATTATTATTATTATTATCAAAAGGAAGCGCTAAACCCGTCCCCAACAGAAAGGTAAAACTTCTGGTGATTATTTATATTTGGACTCTTCAGCTTCGGTTAATATTTTTTTGGATTATCCTGGTTAATTTACACGTGTGTTACTATGTATGGTGACTGTACTTATGTCTACCTGTGCCTAAATATACTTAATTACTTACTAAAGTCCGAAAGTTTCTGGGAAGTGATGACTGACAGGACTGGTTCCTATCCTGTCCAGTTTGAGGATTATAGGACCGCTGCTGCTGACACCGTAACGAACCCGGCTTCATTATCCATTATTAGAACCAGGGGAAGCGCTAAACTCGTAGGATTATACAGCGCACGTGAGAGGGGGGATGGAAGGTATTCAGGCTCAGTTCAGGGAACTGCATCCCAGATCCAATTTCCTAGATCAAGAGCCCCTCACCAGCGTCAAGGAACCTTCCTTGAGAGGCTTCATAACCTAGTGACCCATATATACAAATTCAAAATGTAAAGCAACATCAGAGGGAGCTGAATGTTGGGTGTAGATCTTTCATATTGCAAATAACACATCATCAGGAGCTTTCAGTGTTGCAGAAATTGAGTAGAAAGTTCAGGTAGTCTGTCACTCCATTGTGATGTACTGTTTGTTGATCCATCTGTTGACTGTTAGTTGATCCTAATACTGACTGTTGATACTGCTGTTGACTGTCTCACTCCATTGTGATGTACTGTTTGTTGACCCTAATGCTGACTGTTGATCCTGCTGTTGACTGTCTCACTCCATTGTGATGTACTTTTTGTTAATCCATCTGTTGACTGTTAGTTGATCCTACTGTTGGCTGTTTGTTGATCCTGCTGTTGACTGTCTCACTACATTGTGATGTACTGTTTGTTGATCCATCTGTTGACTGTGAGTTGATCCTACTGTTGGCTGTTTGTTGATCCTGCTGTTGACTGTTTGTTGATCCTCCTGCTGACTGTTTGTTGATCCTGCTGTTGACTGTTTGTTGATCTGCGTTGACTGTGTGTTGATCCTGCTGTTGACTGTTTGTTGATCCTGCTGTTGACTGTTTGTTGATCCTGCTGTTGACTGTTTGTTGATCCTGCTGTTGACTGTTTGTTGATCCTGCTGTTGACTGTTTGTTGATCCTGCTGTTGACTGTTTGTTGATCCTGCTGTTGACTGTTTGTTGATAATTCTGTTGAATGTTGATCCTTCTGTTGATTGTTGATCCTGCTGTTGACTGTTTGTTGATCCTGCTGTTGACTGTTTGTTGATCCTGCTGTTGACTGTTTGTTGATCCTTCTGTTGACTGTTGATCCTGCTGTTGACTGTTTGTTGATCTTGCTGTTGACTGTATGTTGATCCTTCTGTTGACTGTTTGTTGATCCTGCTGTTGTCTGTTTGTTGATCCTGCTGTTGACTGTTTGTTGATCCTGCTGTTGACTGTTTGTTGATCCTGCTGTTGACTGTTTGTTGATCCTGCTGTTGACTGTTTGTTGATCCTTCTGTTGACTGTTGATCCTGCTGTTGACTGTTTGTTGATCTTGCTGTTGACTGTATGTTGATCCTTCTGTTGACTGTTTGTTGATCCTGCTGTTGTCTGTTTGTTGATCCTGCTGTTGACTGTTTGTTGATCCTGCTGTTGACTGTTTGTTGATCCTGCTGTTGACTGTTTGTTGATCCTGATGTTGACTGTTTGTTGATCCTGCTGTTGACTGTTGATCCTGCTGTTGACTGTTTGTTGATTCTTTTGTTGACTGTTGATCCTGCTGTTGACTGTTTGTTGATCCTGCTGTTGACTGTTTGTTTATTCTGCTGTTGACTGTTGATTCTGCTGTTGACTGTCTGTTGATCCTCCTGTTGACTGTTGATCCTGCTGTTGACTGTTTGTTGATCCTGCTGTTGACTGTTTGTTGATCCTGCTGTTGACTGTTTGTTGATCCTTCTGTTGACTGTTGATCCTGCTGTTGTCTGTTTGTTGATCATGCTGTTGACTGTTTGTTGATCCTGCTGTTGACTGTTTGTTGATCCTTCTGTTGACTGTTTGTTGATCCTGCTGTTGACTGGTGACTGTACTTATGTCTACCTGTGCCTAAATATACTTAATTACTTACTAAAGTCCGAAAGTTTCTGGGAAGTGATGACTGACAGGACTGGTTCCTATCCTGTCCAGTTTGAGGATTATAGGACCGCTGCTGCTGACACCGTAACGAACCCGGCTTCATTATCCATTATTAGAACCAGGGGAAGCGCTAAACTCGTAGGATTATACAGCGCACGTGAGAGGGGGGGATGGAAGGTATTCAGGCTCAGTTCAGGGAACTGCATCCCAGATCCAATTTCCTAGATCAAGAGCCCCTCACCAGCGTCAAGGAACCTTCCTTGAGAGGCTTCATAACCTAGTGACCCATATATACAAATTCAAAATGTAAAGCAACATCAGAGGGAGCTGAATGTTGGGTGTAGATCTTTCATATTGCAAATAACACATCATCAGGAGCTTTCAGTGTTGCAGAAATTGAGTAGAAAGTTCAGGTAGTCTGTCACTCCATTGTGATGTACTGTTTGTTGATCCATCTGTTGACTGTTAGTTGATCCTAATACTGACTGTTGATACTGCTGTTGACTGTCTCACTCCATTGTGATGTACTGTTTGTTGATCCTAATGCTGACTGTTGATCCTGCTGTTGACTGTCTCACTCCATTGTGATGTACTTTTTGTTAATCCATCTGTTGACTGTTAGTTGATCCTACTGTTGGCTGTTTGTTGATCCTGCTTTTGGGACTGTCTCACTACATTGTGATGTACTGTTTGTTGATCCATCTGTTGACTGTGAGTTGATCCTACTGTTGGCTGTTTGTTGATCCTGCTGTTGACTGTTTGTTGATCCTCCTGCTGACTGTTTGTTGATCCTGCTGTTGACTGAGTGTTGATTCTTTTGTTGACTGTTGATCCTGCTGTTGACTGTTTGTTGATCCTGCTGTTGACTGTTTGTTTATTCTGCTGTTGACTGTTGATTCTGCTGTTGACTGTCTGTTGATCCTCCTGTTGACTGTTGATCCTGCTGTTGACTGTTTGTTGATCCTGCTGTTGACTGTTTGTTGATCCTGCTGTTGACTGGTTGTTGATCCTTCTGTTGACTGTTGATCCTGCTGTTGTCTGTTTGTTGATCCTGCTGTTGACTGTTTGTTGATCCTGCTGTTGACTGTTTTTTTGATCCTTTTCTGTTGACTGTTTGTTGATCCTGCTGTTGACTGTTTGTTGACCCTGCTGTTGACTGTTGATTCTGCTGTTGACTGTCTGTTGATCCCCTGTTGAACTTTTTTGATCCTGCTGTTGACTGTTTGTTGATCCTGCTGTTGACTGTTGTTGATCCTGCTGTTGACTGTTTGTTGATCCTTCTGTTGACTGTTGATCCTGCTGTTGTCTGTTTGTTGATCCTTCTGTTGACTGTTTGTTGATCCTGCTGTTGACTGTTTGTTGATCCTTCTGTTGACTGTTTGTTGATCCTGCTGTTGACTGTTTGTTGATCCTGCTGTTGACTGTTTGTTGATCCTTCTGTTGACTGTTGATCCTGCTTACCTGGAGTTTACCTGGAGAGAGTTTCGGGGGTCAACGCCCCCGCGGCCCGGTCTGTGACCAGGCCTCCTGGTGGATCAGCGCCTGATCAACCAGGCTGTTGCTGCTGGCTGCACGCAAACCAACGTACGAGCCACAGCCCGGCTGATCAGGAACTGACTTTAGGTGCTTGTCCAGTGCCAGCTTGAAGACTGCCAGGGGTCTGTTGGTAATCCCCCTTATGTGTGCTGGGAGGCAGTTGAACAGTCTCGGGCCCCTGACACTTATTGTATGGTCTCTTAACGTGCTAGGGGACACCCCTGCTTTTCTTTTGGGGGGATGGTGCATCGTCTGCCAAGTCTTTTGCTTTCATAGTGAGTGATTTTCGTGTGCAAGTTCGGTACTAGTCCTCTAGGATTTTCCAGGTGTATATAATCATGTATCTCTCCCTCCTGCGTTCCGGGGAATACAGGATTAGAAACCTCAAGCGCTCCCAGTAATGAGGTGTTTTATCTCCTTTATGCGCGCCATGAAAGTTCTCTGTACATTTTCTAGTCGGCAATTTCACCTGCCTTGAAAGGTGCTGTTAGATGCAGCAATATTCCAGCCTAGATAAACAAGTGACCTGAAGAGTGTCATCATGGGCTTGGCCCCCCTAGTTTTGAAGGTTCTCATTATCCTCCTGTCATTTTTCTAGCAGATGCGATTGATACAATGTTATGGTCCTTGAAGGTGAGATCCCCCGACATAATCACTCCAGGTCTTTAAACGTTGGTGTTTCGCTCTATTTTGGGGCCAGAATTTTTTTTTTGTACTCTGATGAAGTTTTAAAATTTCCTCATGTTTACCATATCTGAGTAATTGAAATTTCTCATCGTTGAACTTCATATTGTTTTCTGCAGCCCACTGAAAGATTTGGTTGATGTCCGCCTGGACCCTTGCAGTGTCGCAATGGAAGACACTGTAAATGCAGATTCGGGTGTCATCTGCAAAGGAAGACACGGTGCTGTGGCTGACATCCTTGTCTATGTCGGATATGGGGATGAGGAACAAGATGGGAGCTAGTACTGTGCCTTGGGGAACAGAGCTTTTCACCGTCTGCCTCGGACTTTACTCTGTTGACGACTACTCCTGTGTTCTGTTATTGAGGAAATTATAGTCCATCGACCGGACTTTTCCTGTTATCTTTAGCGCGCATTTTGTGCGCTATTACGCCTGGTCACACTTGTCGAAGGCTTTTGCAAAGTCTGTTATATATTACATCTGCATTCTTTTTGTCTTCTAGTGCATTTGGACCTTGTCGTGTGATCCAGTAGTTGAGACAGACAGGAGCGACCTGTTCTAAACCATGTTGCCCTGGGTTGTGTAACTGTTTGGGTTTCTAGATGGGTGGTAAATCTTGCTTCTTAGGACCCTTTCAAAAAATTTTTATGATATGGGATGTTAGTGCTATTGGTCTGTAGTTCTTTGCTGTTTGCTTTACTGCCCCCTTTGTGGAGTGGGGCTATGTCTGTTGTTTTTTGTAACTGAGGGACGACCCCGTGTCCATGCTCCTCTCCATAGGATGGAAAAGGCTCGTGATAGGGGCCCTTTTTGCAGTTTTTTGTGAACACAGAGTTCCATGAGTCTGGCCCTGGGGCAGAGGGGCAGGCATGTCATTTTCGCCTGTTCGAAGTCATTTGGCGTCCCGGATAACATCGGATAGCTTGTGTTAATCAAATTTTGTGGCTCTCTCATAAAAGTTCATTTGATCTTCGACTCTCAATC